CCTCACTTGATGCTAACCTGCTACCTTAGCCTCTTCTCCCTTTCAATCTACAACAAAGAAAAACTCTTATAAATTATTACGAGTTCTAATCTCCTTAGTTAACAATGTGAGAGGATGCATCTGCTCAAGCTCACGGCTTAGCAAGATGATCAGGCCAAAGATTTTTTCTTGGAGGGATGCCAAAGACTAACACTCTTGGCTGGACTATTGCAGAGGGCAGGCTCAATGAAGCAGAGGAAGTTGGGCCACTGCCTGGATGATTTTCTGTTGACTTCTTGGCATTTTTTATTCTTTGATTTACTTGAAAACTACTAGAATACTAAAAATTATAATCAAATATTTAAATATATTCCTTACACTAAAACAATCTACACATCCCAGGCAAAACAAACTGAACAACAAACAAGGAGAAATTATGCATCCTTTGTTTCTTAACTTCTATTGCTGTAAACTCTTGCCTCGCGATCCTGATCGGCAAAAATATCCTTTGTCTGGAGCACAATGCCTCTCTTCACTGCAAACACATAGTCCTTCCAAAGCACATCCATCCTTTGTCGCCACTGGGCTTCCTCGGATTCCCAGCACTGAGTCAGACCAATCACTTGAAAGCCATCCTTGTGGATCCAACTTATTCCTTGCCAAAAGAAAATTAGACAACGTTTCCTCAGCAACGTCCTCGTACGTCTATGGTTCCCCCGGCCTCCTGTCTGGGAAAGTAATGAACTCAATCTGTGCTGCGTCAGTCTTTGGTTCAAGGTAAGCAATCTGCAATGCGAGGGCAGTATCAAGCAGACAAAGACGTTCTGGTGATAAGTCTCTCAACTTCACGTCCCGGATAAAGCTGCCAACGTCGTCGCTGATGGAGATAGATACCGAAACGTGGAACCAGAATATGCCCACTCGTGGAAGTAATGGTGTTTACGGTGTTCTTAGCAACGGAGCAGAAGAAGGTTGAATTCCCAATCGCTTCAGCTGCTTCTTCTGGAAAACATTCAATTTTAAGATCAGTCGGAGAGCACACTGACGGCTCAGTCTTGAACTCCTGGCAGCAGCAGCCTGCACGGGAAGAAACAGCGCTGTAGTCTCAGTGCCATTTCCTGGCACCGAGAGTGGCGCTTTGTCATCGATCCTCGACACAAATTTCTTCTGCGAGCTGTACCACGACACTTCCGCAAACTCGTGCTCCCGAGCCAGTGTCAAGAAGTCCTCTTCCAGAGACCCATCGTCTACCGCCAGCGTCACAGACCTCTTCGTCATGGGCTGTACGGAGAACGTGAGCTGGGAAACAGCTCCAAGAACTCCCAGCGGGATCCTGGCGGCGTGGAACAGATCACTCCCCTCCGCGACCGTGACAACTTTGGCAAAGCGTTCGTTCTTGGAGGCCGGAACGACGATACTCATATGGACACGAGGTACTCATGAGTTCCTCCGCCGCGACCCCAAAGGCTGCTGCCATGGTCCCCCGTGCTCACCATGCCCGCCGGCGACACGCCGTCCCAGTCGACACGCCTTGCATCGCCAGGATATCGATAAGCTAGCCAAGCATGATTCCATCATGAAGGAGACCGTCATGGAGCTCTTGTCGACGACAACGCTCGAGTTGGAGTTGAAGCTGGTGGTGCTAATGACAACTCGCCCTGTATCGGATCCGGAGTTTGGACACGCGAATTTGGTCATGGTATGTGCCTCCCTCACCTTGATGTTTTGCTTGCTCTTGACAGCGTATGCCACGGCGTCGAGGAGCTCGGCCTCCTTGGAGTTGAGAGCAAAAAGGATCTTTCAGTTATTGGTGAAGGGTTTCAAAGATTTATGTCAAATTTTATGTTCGCAACTTCCTGCCATGTTCTTATGCATGTTGTCACCACTAGATGTGGTGGCAGCGACAGTCCCCTTGATACAAAATGGCAAACCAAAACTTTCGAGCGAGCTACTTTATATTTATTTCAAGCTTGGGATCTCCACGTTGTTTTGGCTTTGGTTTTCTTTTGGGATGATCCTTTGATGATGGCTTTCTGGCCGGCTGAGCTGCCTTGGCCAGAGATGCAGCTGCTTTAGCCCTCTTTTGTTTCTCCCGTGCATGCAAGAGCAAAACCAAGAAAAGCTCAAGACATGTAAATTATGGAATTTTGGCTTGCGCCTATCTCTCCAGCTCGCTTGATCGCATTTCCATGCTAACCATTGGAAGTTGATGACCTTTGCCGCTAATAAACTATCGAAGTTATGCTTTTCTTAAACCCTTTATAACTTTAGAATGATTTACATTTTATTTATCAAAAGAAAAGGAAAAAGGGAACCCACACACGGCAACACTGCACAATTCCTCAAATATCTTTCCCCCAATTTCACCTCGCGCGAACTGGGAAGCTCAGCCTGCGGGGATGCGTGATGGGGTCCTGAAACCGCCCATGCGTTCCAGGAAGAGAGAACCTTCTCTTGATAGCAGCCGGCGAGAGCTTGCCATTGTCCGCGGGTGACGTGCTGCTCGCGGCGGTGCTGGGACTGCTCACGCGAGCCTTTGCTCTGGCCGATTCCGTGGCCGCCATGTAGCTCGGCACGGACCTGTCCGCCTTGGATCGCTTCTCGGAGCTCTTCGTCGCTGGCGCGTGATCGCCATTCACGTCGCCGTTCTTGGAGCTGCGGTGACACAGATGTGTGATCAGAAGTTTAGTGAAGCTAAACGAAGAAGTAAAGTCACCTGCTGGTCTCTGCCACGCTTGCCGGTTCAGTGGCAGGCTTCCAAGGCTCCACAGCTGTCCAAAACTCCAACCACGTCCACTCGGGCCGGATAACGGGGTTTTTAAACAGCCTGGTTTGCGTTGGTGCGTACGCAACGAGCTGCAAAAACCAAAACAAACGAACCACCAGTTGTGAGTTCACGGGAAGAAGAAAATGAATGTGTCAAATCGCAACAAGTAAGGAGTACCTTCTGATCGAACTTGCTCACATCAGCTTTGCTAGGCTTAGCTCGTAATACGTTTATAACTGTTACAGCATCGTTGCCGCTAAGCTCCTGCACAGATTGACGAATAAGGAAAAACAAAAAAAGAAATCGTGAATAGAGACAGAGCTGGCAGCCTACCGAAGAAGGATCCGCCTCGGAGCTGCCCTGTCGTTTATTCCATAGCTGCTTCTGAATGCTCTGGCCGCCTTGGGAGCTTCTGACGCGGTGGCCTCTGGCCAGAGCTTGCACTTTAACGATAGCGAGTACAGTTCTCAGCGAGATCGCAGCCTGCTTTCTCACGCTGTGTCCTCGAACCAAGGCCTGCAACCTGACAAGGCCCTTGAGAGCCCGCAATGCTCGCCTGGCCTGGACAAAATCATCCACCATCATACCCTTCGTTACCTATACGAACGTGTGCAAAGTTTACCAGAATTACTACCAAAAAAAACGGCTGGCGCTTCCTACTTGGGCAATTTTCTAAGCAAACTAATTCCGGAAAGAAGCTTACCAGGAAGGCTCGGAATGCTGTTTGGATCTTTATAGCTGCTGCATTCCCTGTGGTGATAATTCCATCCGGAATTCCATCGTGCGTTGCAATTATAGGCTGTGCATTGAATGGTTCGTTTGGGGCCTCGGTGGTGGGAGCTGCAATGACTTCCGGAGAAACCTGGGCCTGGTTCTGAGCTGGGGAGGAATCGGCAGGAATTTTCTCCTGGCCATCGTGTTCCTGGACCAACAACAAAGCTTTTTGGTTTTATCAGTAGCAATTGGATCGATCATCACACCACCATACCTCTGGAGACGACGACTTATCCTTCTCCTTGAGAGGGGATTTGAACTTTCTCACACCCAAGAACTTTCCAAGCCACTTTGTAGACTTGCCCATAGCGTTCGTCCTCCCCGACAAAAAAACCTGGAAAAGGAAAGAGGAAAAACGCAATGGAGCTATGGAAAAATCAGAGCGCAGAAGAGGCTCGCGTACCTTGGCTCAAAGGAGCATCAATCAATCCCCGTCTAGAATAGAAAATGTAGCTCCGTGAGGACCACTTCTTCTCCAAAATCCTGCGGCACACGCCAAAACGTCCAGATCACACAACCCCCACCTAAAATCGACATCTAGATTGAAAATGTACCTCGCGCCGGATGGAATTCCACAAGAATCCTAGAATTCCCCTGCGATTCGCGCTCGCCGCAGCAAAACCAAGCCGGAATCGCGAGATTCCGGACCTCCTCGCCCGCTGCCGCCACGGCCGTAGCGTTCCAGCGGCCAATCCAGTCCCGTTCGCGCTGGCAGGACCCGATCGAGGCGCCAGAGAGAGAGAGACGACGCACCAGACACGGAGTAAAAAAAAAACAAGGAAGAACCCTAGAATATTTCTATCCAAGCGCATTAAACCCCACAGCGATCCAACGGTTCCCGAGACGCCGCGTGGCATAGCATTTAGGTGCTTTGGCCGGTGGTCGCTTTCTCTGCGCACCGGGATCCGCGACTCTGATTGGTCGTACTTGTACGCTTTGCCGGGGAATGTTCGCTAAAGATTCTAGAGCGTGGGTGGAATCACGATTTTTCTTGTCCTCTTTTCACTTTGATATTGATCCTAACACTGTTATGGATGATTTTCGATTTTTTCTATGAAACCAAGGAGAACAAGGATTTCTCGCCGAGACAATGCCACCAATGTTTAGACAAGAGAACCGCCAGTGCGCGACACTACAGCCACTCAACGAAGTATCTAAGAAAATGGTTTAAGATTATAGACATTGGATCACCCATGTTGCAATGTTAGATGGCACATCAAATCAACTTTTCCCTTTGAATTTTTTCCAATTCTTAGTGGCCCACTTTTGGTTGCTTGTCACCACCGTCAAAGAATAATGTAAAGGCAAAGCTCTCGGGAGCTTAAGTTATGATCACATATAAGTGATCATCAAAGTTTTCAGAGGAAAAAAGTGTGTATCGTTGAAGTTCTTGAAGAAAATAGCTTAAATCGAGCACACTCCACTTTTGAGCTGATGCGCTCAAGAAGTCAATGAAAGTCAATTCAGGTCCCGAAATCAATAAAGTAAAGACAAACTTCAAAGATTATATTGACATTCATTGACTACCACTGACTTTGACTCCCTAGAACAAACCCAATGCTTTCATCTAAACAAACCAGTTTGCTGCTCCAATGGCGTCGAAAGAAGCTCGAGATCATGCCTCTGCTCCATAATGAGCCCACACTCGGCCCCTTGAGGCCACTGGACTTCCACAAAGTTCATGAAGAGAGGATACCGACCCTCTCCGTGAGTACTTGCCCAGTCGAAATCGATGAATCTCACTTCTACTCCTAGTCCTTTCTCGGCCCCATCTCGAGGGCGCCTTATCATCACATTGACGTCCCTGGCATCTCCATGAACTCCGACCCCGCCATTCGACGATACTGGAACGCGATGAGCACTTCTCAGCGCGGCAAGAGCTTGATCCCTCAGCTCGTCGGCGTCTCCACACTCGGCCAGCATCTCCCACCCGTCTTCCGGTCCCAGATTCTCCATCCTCACCTCGACCCATCTACCAGCCAGCGCTCTAACTCCGTAGAGCGCCGGAGCAAAGCCAGCAGCAGCCCACGCGCGATGGACCTCCACTCCATATCTCTTGGCCAGCTTTACCACTCCCCAAGGCTCCACCAGATAGACGAGCTTGTTCTCAAACTTCTTCACCACCTTCGCCGCTTCGTGCAGCGGATATGGAATGTCCAAGTTCCAGAGGTCGTATCTCTTGTTCCCCGTCCCGGCACGCGTCCCGGCCTGAGCATTCCAATAGTACTCGTTGAGTAGCCCGAGGCAGCGCTTGAAGGCGACCAAAACTCGCACGGACTCGGCTACCATCTCTGGATCCAAGCCCTGGATTGGCAATAGGTTGACAAAGTGCGTGAGAGGCTGGCACACCACCTCGTCGAGCTTTGCCATGGCGCTTATTCTCAGATTGCAGCCAACGAGCTCCATGAGAAACGCTGGATAGCAAGTGTCTATGTACCGCTCCTTGGCTCCCACCATGTCCCAGTAGAGCGCGTAGCAGTGGAAGCCATGAGTGTACGAATCCAGGCCGCCGAGCTTCACTTCACCTATAGCAATCAGGCTCTTGTTCATGGAACGACTCTGGAGAGATAGAAACACTAGCGTGAGCGAACAAGAGGCCGGAAGAAAACGCTCACCATCATCGCGAGAGGAGCTTCCCAGCTGCCATGGATCGTGAGCGCCTCGCGGCAGGGAACGCCCAGGTACCTGGAGAAGAGCCGATGAACAGTGCACCTTAGTTTGGCCTCGTCCGAGTGGTAAAGCGATGAAAGGTGCGCGAGCTCCAGCGCGAACTCGATGTCTGCCAGCCCAGGAGCTCCAAGATCGTGATCGTGAATCAGGTCGGTGAAGTGAGCAAAGACTGGATGAACGAGCTGGAGAGGGATTGGAGGCTTGGCATGGGATGGTCTGCAGTTGAGGAACTTGGGCTTGCTGTGCTGGCCCTGGAGATTCGCCAGGACCTCGCTGCGCTCCAGATCGTTTGGCTCGTGGTTGAGAATGCATGGATCAGCAAATTTGAAGTCTAATTTTTTGTTCATTAAACATAAGTTGGTGATCCAGTCCAGCAAGAAATGAAAGACATACCGGGTTTATATGTGTAGTTGCCGAAAGGGAGCTCGTTTTCCTCCGTCACCACATACCCGTCTTCGTCAATGATTGAACCAATCCCGAAGAGGCTTTCAAGCTTCGCAGCGGTCACACTCTTGAATGTGAAGCTCTCGCCCGCTGAAAGCACCTTCACCCTCACTAGCTCATCCATTGCCCTAAACCCGGCTTTTGAAAGCATGAGAAATTAATTTGACATTTTCAATTGATGAAGTGAGGTCCTATGCTTTTTAGACCATTCTATATTGGTGTTTACGGGTAAAAAGTTTGTATCATCGAAGAAAAGATCTAGCCACTCGATGTGAAGAGCAGCTGCCCACCATTTTCCTTGATCAAAACTCGGGGCCTGCTCCTCAAATTTAGACCATGTTTAAAGATTGGGATTAGTCATACCTTTAAATGTGAAATTATGCCTTGAACGGCTACATTTTTCTCATTTTTTCTCGAAGTAGGGTTTTACAATCGTTTGGAGTGAGCGCGGCTTCGGATGATCCACCAAAGCTGACATTTCTGGAGGTGAGTGGTCCTCTATTCCGTTCGCAGATAACAATTATAGGGGTTGGAACAGGAGAAAATGCTGGATGAATTTGATTTCCAGAGAGAACATTGGCCTACAACGCTGAACAGGATGAGAATCAACAAATCTCAAACCCTCCCTTGGTGCCGCTGTGTCGGTTGCAACCTGCAGAGATTGTTCGTACGGTTTTGGAACCAAATGTACGCCTCTACAACGCATTTGCAAAAGAAGGGTATCTTATAGAGATGCCGTCGTTTATCATCGGAATTGCAGACGCCGACCAGAGGGAACTTCAAGTTACAGATTTAACAATTGGGTCGTGGGATCCTATCTGGAGGGAGGTGAATGAGGAATTGGAAAGCGAGCTACAAGCGGACCCGGAATATCATGTCTCATGTTTTTCTGTTTTGATGGAAATCATCGGCTGCATGCATGGATGGACTGCATTGAGAAAGAGTTTCCGAACAACAAAAGGCTACGTGTTCGTGTGAACGCAACGATACTTTGACGTAAAGAATTATGGATTTCTGTCTCTCTTCAATGTCATATCGGGGATCAGCAAGTAAGTTTGATTAGCATCCATTCAAGGCGGTAATCTGTATTGTTTTTGATTTTTCTGCAGCATGAATGATTACGATGACACTCTAAATCTGCAGGACCCAACATCTGTTCTGCTCATCGAATACAGAAATTGAGAAGACACTAAGCCCTTCGGAGTTGCACCTTTTAAACGAACTCAAGATGATCCTCGGGGTTGAAAGAGAACCAAAACAGGTATCCGTTCACATGGACCATTCTAGCTTCATTTCTGTTCAGGGTAAGGGAACTTTTTGATCCAAAATTTGTCTGATCTGAATGGTTCGATTGCAGAAGTGAATAAATAGGGAGATCGCAAGGATGGCAGATACTAAATTCGCTGGAACGCCTGATAGCGAGGAAAAGGCACGAGCCGTAGTTATGCAAAGCTGGCGAACTAAGATGTGGAAGTACTTAACCGTTGTGCACGAAGAGAAACTTGGAAGGAGGTGAATTGAGCAAGCAGCAATTATCGCACAGCGGTTTCAACTTGACACTTGAGAAGTTGACCGCTCTAGCAAGCCGGCCCTTCACAACTGAAGATCGATGCTGGTGGTTCCAGACACTCACTGACACTACTGACGGATGGAAAAGATGGAAGGTCCCAAAGGATGATACTCATTTCCGTAAATGGGCATCGAAGGTGGCTTGGGACTCTTATGTGGCGGATAAAGCAGATCGACTTGCTTGTGACGAGCTCCTGAAACAGCCGGGTTTTCACCTGGCTACCGTCGAGAGGGTTGATAGCATTGCAAAGAACCTACGCCTTCTGGCAGTGCTATACGGCACTGTTCTCTTCCATGGCATCGACCGTGCAGATGCAGAGGATTGAAGCAGAGGTCATTGAACAAGTAGCAAAACGTCTTGCAACAAGGTTAGTCTTCTCGTTTTGAAGCTTCCAATTTTGTGGAATTTTGAATCGTGGTCTATAGCTCGGGTATGAACGATGATTCAAGATAGTTGACTGTCTATGCGTTTGCAGGTGGCTCAGGCAACTCAAAAGGAGAAATATTATTGAGTTGATACCAGAGGACACGAAAGTATGGGCTAGCAAAGACCTTGGTGAAACAATGTACACCTCGCAAACATTACTGCATGGGAACTGGAAAATTGTCCATGGTGGCTGGATATGAAGTCTGGGTACTGCTGGAAGGAGGTGAACCTTTAGACTGTGAGACGCCAGTGAAACAATTCAGACGCTCGGAAGAAACAGACCAGTTTAACAATGCTCTTTGATGAAAATCTCGAATTCCACACGACTTCGTTTTCAACTTCTCGAAGAGGTGCAATGCCTCTGCAGCGATGGAAGTTTAGCCTACAGAGAGGTTCCTGATGAATTATAGGGAATTGCTAGGACTATGGATGTAATGATCTTAAAGTTAATAGACCAAGAAAATATTCGTTACAATGTACGTCCAAGGCGCCAAACGACCCAAAAAGCTTGTATTATTATCGCAATGTTGCTTCGTAGCAGTTTCGATTCTTGTTTGAATCTGATTTGTTTGGATGAAAAGCACCCACCTGGCAAGCAGAGTGCATAGGTTTGCCCTTAGTCCAGGAAATGGAAGCTCAATGGATCCTGAGCGCTTGCATCGCCCTCTTCACTGCTGCGCTATGGCGATTCATGACGGTCTACTGGTGGCGTCCCAGAGCAATTGCTGCCCAGCTGAAGAAGCAAGGGATTCGGGGGCCTCCTCCCACACTCATGGCAGGTCAGATGCTTGAAATCCGGAAGACAATGGCCGCAATCAGGGATCACGACATGGAAACTTTCAGCCAGGATATTGTTCATCGAGTGCAGCCAGGATTCCACAAATGGAACAACCAATATGGTATGCTCTCTTTCATACTGTTCTTGTTCTCTGAGCATGTTATACAGGGAAGCGATTCGTGTATTGGTGGGGAACAGAGCCGAGGATATCAGTCTCTGAACCTGAGATCGTAAGGGAAGCTTTGTCTAAGAAGTTTTCGCATTTTGAGAAGTCGGACATGTCGGTTTGGTTCTTGACCATGTTTCTGGGTCGTGGGTTGGTTTCCGTTACTGGAGAAGAATGGAGTCACCACCGCCGGCTTGTAGCACCGGCATTCTTTCATGAGCGTATCAAGGTAGGGATTGCACAGGAACTACTTCTGTCTGGCTAATAAGTTGATTCTTCAGCAAATGACCGGTACAATTGCAACTTGTGCTTCTGTTATGCTTGATCGATGGGAGGCTATGATGCAGCAGAATCCCGAGATTGAAATCTCTGCAGAGGCGCGCAAGCTCACAGGAGATGTTATCTCGCATACAGCATTTGGGACAAGTTATCTCAAAGGCCAGAGAGTTTTTGTGATTTTGACGAAGGAAATCCCAGATTTGTTCCCCATACTCTTCAGGTTTTCCTGGATACTACCGGGTGTCAGGTATGCTTGATCATCACACACTTAGTTGGAGTGAATACAAATTGTTTGTTCACAGGTTTCTGCCGCTTCCAGTCAACCTTAAACTTTGGAAGTTTCATCAGGAGTTGGATTCGTTGATAACTGGAATCATAGATGAGCGTCGAGAATCTGTGAAGTGCGGGAGGAGCGATTCATATGGCAACGACTTGCTTGGGTTGATGCTAAAGGAGTGTGACAGCAGCAACAGTAAGTTCACAAACAAGGATTTGATAGAGGAATGCAAGACCTTTTACTTTGCGGGGCATGAGACCACAGCGTCATTACTAACTTGGACGTTGATGCTGCTGGGAGGCTATCCTGAATGGCAAGACCGTGCTCGAGCAGAGGTACATGAAGTCTGTGGTACCGAGACACCTGATGGCGAGAATGTTAGCAAGCTCAAGCTGGTAAGTCCATCCATGTTTATAAGTTCATGGTTCAAAACTTTGACAACTTCGATTCAACAGATAGGAGCGATCCTTTACGAGACTCTGCGGCTGTATCCACCCGCAGTCGAGATGACTCGGGAATGCATGGTGGAGACTTGGCTACAGGATTTGCATGTACCAAAAGGAGTGACTTTGGCCTTCCAGGTTATTGGTATGCATCACGACAAGGAGCTCTGGGGGGAAGATGCAACTGAGTTCAATCCGGATCGGTTCAAAGATGGGATTTCAAACGCATGCAAGCATCCAAATGCTTTCATACCCTTCTCGCTTGGCCCTCGAGTGTGCGTAGGCCAGTCGTTTGCGATGATTGAAGCCAAAGTCATACTGGCTATGATACTGCAGCGGTTCTCATTCCGGCTTTCACCGAACTACCGCCATAATCCTGCAATGAAGTTTGGTTTGAAGCCAATCCATGGGGTGCCGCTTGTCCTCGAGACTGTAGGACGCTTTCAAGAAAGTTGAAGAAACAGAACAATATCGATATGTAGAGAACGATATATAACCATATAAATAAGCTGAAAACCCAATGTCTGGCGAGCTTCTGAGCATACTTCTTGGTTTTCAAGCGTGTAGCGAGGAGACGGTGCTCCAGAATGCAACCGAGATGACTTGGAGCTGCTCGAGCTGTTCACGAATGGTCTGAAAGGCTGGAAGGACGAGGATGCATTGCAATCAGGGGGTGGCGGAGCTGCATGAGAAACAAGCAGAAAAATCATATGCTTTGAAACTTACCGTGGTATGATCTGCTTCCACATAAACAAGCTTATGAAGTGGCGATTCCCTTATCAAGCAAAGAATGCTTGTCGGACCCGTCTCCTGCGAAGGCAAAAAGCTATGGTGTCGTGGAATGCAATGGTAATTGCTTACGCTCGGCTTGATCGCTCCGCTCAGGGCTTGGACGAGGCGACGGTGTTGCTCAGGGAAAAGTTTTTGATCATGGCGTTCAATCCCAGTAGCGCCAAGAAAGCGTGGATGATTCTGCCTCCTGCGCCGGAAACCCACGGCAAGGGATTCGTGTGCAAGGCTCTCGGCAGCAAGCTCTACAGCAAAGCAGTGAGCGTCTTACGAATCAATGGAACGCCACGGCTACGGAGGGTCGGCCATACGTTGTCGGTGGCAACTGGAATGGGGAGGGACCGACACCAAGGGTATACAATCCGGTGCAGGATCGATGAGATCCTCTTCCCCCATCGCCATCACTGGACACTAGTTCGACAGTTTTTGCATATGGCCCTTGCCGTGGATCGCAACAAGATGGTTGCGAGCCCGTGCGATGCTGTGAGCCCGGACGATGATGCTCCCGGAGTTTTCTCGACACAAAATCACTCCTGGGAAGTGGAATGTTCTTCTGGGAGCTCACAGCGTAGCACAAAAACTTCTCAAGCGTTCGTCAGCTGGAGCGCCACCCGTGATTGCCACGTTCGTGTCTCCACAACAACGATTCGGCCATGCACAACGTTTTACAAGCTCAGCGTGCCTCCCAGCAGCGATTTGGACGTCGAGGTTCTTCGGGCTTGATGGATCCTGTAGCTAAAGATAAATAAGGTATCTACGAGGATGGTGTGTTTCAGCAAATGCCCGATGAAGGCATTTTTCCTAGGTGCTCATCCTTCAACTTGCTGAAGTTCTTTTAGCTTCAGCAACCAGAATGTCTTATTTGCAGTGTGTCAAGGGATTGTTTCAAAACTCTTGGTGCTTACTCCATGAGAATCCCTTGGTGCTCAGTCCAGGTTCTTCGAGTTTGATACATATGCATCTTATGGCAGCACTGTAAGAGTGATCAAAGTCCGCAAGGCAACCGCTACTTTCTTGGGGCTCGTCCAGAGATTAAATTGACCGCCAGCATGTCATTCCACGTCATACGTTTGAACGTTTGACCTCAAACTGGTCACACCATCCAGTTTAATGCTGAGATACTAAAGCAAAGCACCCAGGAGCATTTTTAAGTGCTTATCATCAAAGTCCTTGGAATAGAAGTATGTTATCATCGAAGTTCTGGAGAAAAACAGGAGAAAACCAGCCACCACCACCATTTTGCTCGATCCAAACTCGGGGCCAGCTGCTGCTGCTCAAACATTTCCGTCCTCGATCTCAAACTTTTCTCCACGCCCCTGTAAGCTTTTGCTTCCACCTCGATCCCAAACTCTTTCTCCAAGTCCCTGTGACCATCCTCGATGTCAATCTTCCAAGTCCCTTGTGACCAACCTCGACAAACCTTCTTCCAAGTTCCTGAGAGGCCCGTCTTCTCTTGTCACTCGTCCTCCTCGTCCTCGTAATCGAAATCCAGCCGCGGTCTCATCGTGTAAGCCGGCCCGTCTGGTTTGATCCGGACGTTGTAAGCACCCGGCCCGGGAGTCTCCTCGCGCCCGAGGTGCTTGAGCCGGCCACTCAAGCTAAACGCTGGCGGCTTGTTCAGCACCATCGCGGCTCTGGGATCGTAAGCTCCTGGACCTGGACTTACACTCCGAGTTAAATCGTGCCCCCGGCTCGTCAAGCTATAGGCAGGACCCTCCAGAGCGCCCTTGATGTTGTAAGCTCCCGGGCCTGGAGTCACAGCCGCAGTTAGAAGTGGAAGCCGACCAGCGAGGCTAAACGAAGGAAGCTCGCTCTTGAGATCCATATGATAAGCTCCAGGGCCGGGTCCCGGTTCTCTCTTGCTGTACGCCAGCCTCTCTCCCATGCTATACTTCGGCGCCCCCGACTTGATCATCGGCCGGCCATACTGCCCGGGCCCCGGAGTCGTCTCTCCGGATGCGTGTATGAGCCTGCGTCCTATGCTGAAAGCTGGAGTCTCCGACTTGCCAATGACGGTGTAAGCACCCGGGCCGGGATAGAAAGTCCTCTGGAGCGGCGTGAGTCGTCCATACAAGCTGAAAGACGGCCCCTCCATGGAGCTCCCCAGCGAGTACGCGCCGGGGCCTGGAGTGTCCTCTCGCAACTTGCGCTCAAGCCTCCCGGAGAGCGAGTAAGCTGGCGCGAGGGAGATAACTGCGACGCTGTAGGCTCCCGGGCCGGGACTCTGCTCGGGCCTCCGCTTGGCAAGAACTCCCGAGAGAGAGTAGGATGGCCCCGTCGCCCCGGACTTGATGTTGTAGCTCCCGGGTCCTGGAGTGTTCTCGTTGTAAGCGTAGTGGAGCTGACCTCCCATCGAGTAAGCCGGTGGTGCCCGGTACACCACCTTGCCAGTCGGGTCGTAAGCGCCGGGGCCTGGATTCTGCGCGCTCTTCGTCTCGGACAGCCTCCCAGAAAGGCTGTAAGCGGGGCCAGTGGGACTCCGAGACCGGCTGTAAGTTCCCGGCCCAGGAGTCTCGGAGGAATGCTCGTAGAACACTCTGGATCCGAGCGAGTAGGATGGAGGTGACGGGCTTCTCGAGTTGATGTTGGGCTCGTAGGTTCCTGGTCCCGGGTTTTGGTTCCTGGCACCGCCGTCTCCAAGCCTCCCAGAAAGGCTGTAAGCAGGCCCACTGGATGCCTTTCCCCGACCATAAGCTCCCGGCCCTGGGGTGTCCTCTGTGTGCTCGTAGAAAGTCCTTGGGCCGAGGGAGTAAGAAGGTGGCGATGGACTTCCAGTTCTCGAGTTTGGATCATACGCCCCCGGACCGGGAGAGTCTGGCCTGCCCAGAGTCTTGAGCTTGCCATGGATTCGAATCCCCTGCGTGTCGAGCGTGCTGCCCAGCTCGTAAGATCCGGGACCAGGGACGTTCTCGCCCACTTGTCGGCGAAGCCTACCCGAGAGAGAAAATGCCGGAGAGCTCGGCCTCGAGAGCTGGTTATAGGCGCCGGGCCCGGGGGTCTGCTCTCGTTGGTGAAGCTCGGTTCTTCCCTTGATCGTGTAGGATGGGCCACCGAGCATGGAACCGAGCTTGTAAGTGCCCGGCCCCGGATTGTCAGACTCACCTCGCGACGTCAATCGGCTCGCAAGGCTGTACTTTGGAGCCGATGTAGGGATGAGTGGAGAGTATGCACCTGGCCCCGGGGTGTTCGTCCGCCGCCGCCGCCGCCGCGGCGGGGAGGAGCTCCCCCCGATGCTGGGCATCGGTGTCGCGGACCTGCTGCCTCCCGTGCTCATCGAGGATGCCTCTGCCTCGCCGAGCGATGGATCCGGTGCCGCATAGGATATTGCAGAGCGGCGGCGGCGCCAGTGAGAACCCTAGCCACGGAGCGACGGCGATGGGGTGCCAGGCCATGGCGGCTCTTCGCTCGGCAGCCGCGACCCGCAAAATCCCTGCCGAAGAACCCTAAAATCACATTGGCATATTCTTGGTATCTTTTTACAAATTTGGCGGGAAAACATTCGTATGCTGCAAAGGGCTAGTTGTCTCGAGCAAGGCGCGGTTGATCCAGTCGAAGATCTTGCTCGATCGATCAGAAGAGCCAGAGATTTGGAAGAATGCAAGCGAATCCATGGGCGCGTCCGCGAGAGCAGCCATTCCCACAACATCTTCCTCGCCAATCTGCTCGTCCAGAAGTATGGCAAATGCGGGAGCTTGCTCGATGCCCGCCAAGTCTTCGACGAGATCCCTCGCCCTAACCTCTTCTCGTGGAGCAGCATCCTTCATGCCTACGCGGCCAGCAAGAATCTCGGCGAGGCAAAGGATCTCTTCAACAAGATGCCGGTCAAGGATCTGGTATCATCCTCCGCGCTAATCAAGGCATATGCCCAAGCCGGGCATCTAAAAGACGCAGAGCGAATCTTTCACTCCCTTCCCAGGAAAGATTCCGTCGCTTGCAACATCATGATAGGCGCGTACTCCCAAAGAGGTTGCATTGACAAGGCTAAAGATATATTCGATCAAACTCCTTCAAAGACCGTGATATCCTGGAACAACATGATTTCGGCATATGCCAAAAGCGGGTATTTATCAAAGGCCAGAGATGTGTTTGATTCCATGCCGGAGAAAAACGTAGTGTCGTGGAATCTTATTTTCCACGTCTACGCTGGTGCCGGAAGATTCAAGGAGGCAAAGAGGATCTTCGACAGCATGCCAGACAGGGATGTGGTCTCCTGGACAGCAATGGTCGGAGCACATGCCGGGACTGGGCAAATTTTAGAAGCCAAGAGAATGTTTGACTGCATGGATGTCCGAAACACTGTGACGTGGAACATAATGTTCCGGGCTTACGTTGACGCCGGTCAAATGGACGATGCAAAGTCGGTCTTCGACGCCATGCCCGAGAGGGATACGGTGGCGTGGAACACTTTGATTGCCGCGTACGTACAATACGGCCGCATGGATGAGGCGTGCAAGGCGTTCGATGCGATGGAGGAGCGTACCGTGGTGACGTGGACGACCATGATCGCGGGGTATGGTCGGCACGGGAATCTGTCCGAGGCGAAGAGATTGTTTGATCGATCGCCCGAAAAAAATGTTGTGTCGTGGAATGCGATGCTTCAGGCTTACGTAGAGAGCCAGTGTTTTGAGGGGGCGAAAGAGATTTTTGATCGGATGCCTGAGTGGGACGTTGTGTCGTGGACAGCGCTGGTTGCAGTGTATGCCGATGCAGGGTATTTGTGTAGAGCTCGCGATCTCTTTGATGAAATGCCGCAGAGAAATGTGGTCTCTTGGGTGACGATGCTTGCTGCTTATTCCCAGCGTGATCTTGTCAATGAGACACAGAAATGTTTCGATGAGATGCCCGAGCACTGCAATGCGGCGTGGCATTTGCTTTTCCAGGCACACGCTCGAGCCGGATTTGTGGACAAGGCGAAGATGGTCTTTGATCGGATGCCGCACAGGGACGTCCTGTGTTGGAACATGATGATCACTGTCTTCGTCGCGGCGAGAAACGTCGATGACGCGAGGTGCGTCTTCGACCAGATACCGGAGCCAAACACGATCTCGTGGACGAACATGGTGACGCTCTACGGCCAGTGTGGTGATCTTTGCGAAGCACAAAAGATGTTTGACATGATCCCAGATCCCAGCGTCGTTTCTTATAACGCGCTCATGGCTGCTTATGCTCAAGCCAGTGATCTCGCGCAAGTCAAAGCCATCTTTGATGCAATGCAAGATCGTGATACGATCACTTACACGACAATGATCAGCATTTACTCCCAGCACGGTTTCATCGCTCAGGCACGAGAGATTTTCGATTCACTGCCGACCCATGACACAGTTTGCTGGAACTCGATCATCTCGGCATATGCCCAAAACGGGCATACCGAGGGAGCGGTAAAGCTCTTCGAGCTCATGAACGTCGAGGGCGTCGAGGTGAACGAGTCCACGCTTCTTAAAGTCCTGGCGACTTGCAGCCGGCTTGGATCACTGGATTCCGGGTGGCGGGCATTCGTCTCGATCTCGCAGGATTACGGCTTGCAAGCAACGAGAGATCACTATGGGTGTTTGATCGATCTTCTGGGGCGAGCTGGATGGATCGGCCAAGCCCAAGAGCTCATCGACGTGATGCCTTTCTGCGCGGATGGTGCTGCTTGGGGGAGCTTGCTCTCTGCGTCCAAAGTTTACCATGATGTGGATTGTGGAATGCAGGCTTCTTGGAAGATCTCAGAGCTTGAACCCAGTAGCTCGGCAGCATATGTGGAGCTCTCTAACATCTACAAACACTGCGATTGACTAAACTATAGAACGTCCAATGATAATTTAGAAGTTTTTACCCGATATTACCACAAAATTATATTTTTTTTTACAAAACTCAAATATTTCTACAACTTAAGAATTTACAAGTTTGGTTTTTACTTTTTACTTTTTTTTTGCTTGGAGTATCTTTTATGTGATACAATACCCAGAAAATTTGGTGGCGAAAACCATCCAAGTCATTTTTGTTCATTCGGGATCACTAGAATATCACCTGGAAATGCGAGGGTGAAGATTGGGTGCTATAAACTTATACGAGGTTGGCACTCACCCGCGAATATAAGATCCGGATTCTCAATCCCGTTCGCAGTCTGGATTGTGGAGATGGAAACTTTGAACTTGCGAGAGAGAGACCAGAGCGTGTTTCCCTGGAGATGTATCATGTCACGCTCAAAGTTTTCTAGCGATGAAGCCCAAGAGAACAACCTTTTGTATGTGATGAGTCCGAGGGATCCAGAGGAGCTGGCCGGTAGCAACATTTGCCGGGTTTAAGATCTTATTTGCCTGTGCAAAGTAATGCAAGAAGAAACGAAAGGATCAAACCACAGGGATGATAGAACTTTGGCCTGACCTCCATGACAACTTCTGTGAAAGTTTCGTGCTTGGAGGAGATGTCTCCCAAGTCCTCGCCGGGTAGAACCTTGTACACGTAGTTTCCTTTGGGTCTGCTCACTACACAACCAAGTAGAGAGATCGAAACATCACCCAAGAAGAAGAAAAGAAAAACGAAGAGAAGAACAGGAAAAAACAAAGTGTTCTCACCCTTTGGCTTGGGCATCAGATTTTGTTTCTCGTTGGCTTTCTGCCATCGAACATATCGCCAAGGACGAGGCCTGGGCAAGCAAAAGAACAAAGAAAGTAGGAATTAACCATCGCGAAACTTTGTTCTTGCTAAGACAAAGATGATACAACTTACTTGTCGGGATCCATCCGTACGGACGCCGGTACGTTTGATCTTCGGGCTGGAATCGTCTGCAAGCACGGCAGAATATCAGCCGCAAGCCCGCATTCCAAGCACCCAATGCATGGATCATTCCCACCAGTGGTCCAAATGCTCATTCACCGACCAAGACCAAGCAAGCAAGCAAAACCAAAAACCCCCAAGTCGTTTTTTTTCCCTGCGATCCAAAGAAATCCAGCCAAAACTTACGGCTTGCGGCTCCTCGGCTCCAAAGATTGGGAGCGCCCTCCTCATCAGCGTCGGCCATACTCGCCACATATCGCTCCCCCGATCCTTGAAGTTCATGATTCTCTCTTCTTCTTCTTCGTCTCTCCTCCTAGATCCCGCAAAATCCTTCCTTTGCGCTGGAAACTAAACTCCTAGACGCTCCCCTCCCCTCTCTCTCTCTCTCTCTCTTCTTTGTTGGTTCAATCCATGATGGCTCGTACCCGCGAAGAACACACACTACCTAAGAGAACAAAAAAAAAACAGAGAGAAAGAGAGAGAGAGAGAGAGCTCTTACTAAACTGTTTAATTTATTACCAAGATCCAAGCTCATGCAACTTCTGAGAGAGAGATCACCGAGAAGTTTTCTGATTCGATCAAGTGAAAACCTTCTTTCTCTAAAATCATGGCGAAATGCCGGGACTTTAAAACCCAGGAAAAAGAAAGAAAAAGGAACTTAGAAGATAAATGACAAGATCTTGCTTGATCGAAAAAATCTGCGGCCACAGCGGCATTACAATGATGGACGAGAACATCACGAAGACTACCGATCGCCTCCATCTCCAACAACAATGGATTGTTTTCTGGATTGTTTTCTTTTTTCTTCACACAACTTTGGTTGCTTTGCTTGGATCATCCTTCCATCTACCATTCATCCTCTCACTTGTACTCGAGAAGCATGTTGTTCTCGGGGGCCAATCCAATGCAGGCTCTCAAAACGTTCTCCAAGCACGCTCGCTGCTTGGACAATGCATTGATGACCGGAGTACCGGGGGGAACCTGGAAGAAGATCACGGGAAACACGAGCGCTTCATCAATGATCACGGGAGATAAAAGGAATGGAGATCGATCTTACCAGAGGAGCTTTTGTCATGTAGCTCAGCAAGGCTGCAACTGGATGGAAAGAGTGGAACTTTTCCTGCAAAAGTGAAGAGCTTAGAATCATCGAAGTCTCATAGATTGTTGTTTCTCTTCTTACCTCTCCTTCTCTTTTCAGCTGGATCCGGGAGCAAAGCTCGGCGAGGAGGACCAAGTCGAGAATCAACGGGGCTGCAAGCAGCGAATCCTCGCAAGTGTTGTGCATGGCGATGGTGCTCCTGCCTCCCATGAATATCTCGGACGTGTATTCGTCCATGGCCCGCTTGCTATCACCGACGTAAGGAACATACTAGAAAACGAAAGCAAACTCGGGAGTTTTCCCTAGAAAAAAATCAAGCGTTTGTTTTACCTTGATGACGATCACATGATCAGGATGTTCACCGGGCTTGAACAAGATGGCATTGCTAGAAACCATGTCGTCAACCACATTGCTCTTGGAGATTTCCTTGGATCTGAATGTTTGCGGCGCAGATAGATTCATTCCATCATTGTTACCAAGATGATTGTAGCTGACAATGGAGGTTGGCTGGAAGACAAGACGGATTTAGAGTCGGAAAAATACGAGAAAAACGAGATTTTACCTTGATGCCAGCACCGACCAGGAAATCCACGAGCACGGATTTCATCTTTGTTTGTCCAGACTTGAAATCATCGCCACCGATGAGAGTTCCTTTCTCCACAGCAAAGTCAATGACACCTGGCCATGCACCGTGCATACACACACTTCTTAGCAAACCGAGAAAAACTGGGAGAAAAAACGAAGGACACCTGGGACAAAAGTGTTCTGGGGGCTCCCGTTGATGAAAGGAACACCCTCTTGGATACATGCCAAGGCGTAAATAGTGGAGGGAGAGATTTCGGGCTCGTCTCTCTCGAGTGAAGCGAACAAGTTCTCCTTCGTGTCATTCAGGCCCACAATCACATCGCTGTAGCGTTCCGTGTTTGCAGTCCACAAAACCACGACTTTGTCCACTTTGGTTTGTGACTTGAAGTGTCTGCAAGGGATGAAAGCGAAAACATGAGAAAAGAAAGAGAGGAAGAACTCAATCGAGATTCGACGAAGTACCTGATGTCCTCGATGATCTTATCCATCTTCTCTTTCTTGGAGCCTTTGAAGATGTTGTTTGCGCGAGAACCTTGGTTGGCTGCAATGAAATCGGGGTCGTAAACCCCCGGGAGTGGCACCATCTTGTCCATGTAAGGTCTCAGCTGCTTCTGGAGGTCCATGTCCAAAACTTTCGCTCGCTCCATGGCATCTGCGAGGTTCATGTTGTTGATATCCCATCCCCCAAGAACAACATCGTCGGGATTCACCTGCAAGTGATACAAGAAACCAAAACTCAAGAACCATCTTTGATTGTTGTTAGTTACCATGGGAAGCAAGCTCTTGAAAGGAGCATAGATCTCCTCTCCTCTAAAAGAGCCAATTCGACACGTAGAAGCTTGAGTAACTGAGCCAAAGTAATTTGGTCGCTGGACACCATCCTTGGTGACCCACGAGATGCCTCTGCGCGGATCAAACCCCCAAGAGTGAGTTACACACGGGGAAAAAAAAAAAAAAAAACTCTTTGACAAAGGGCTCACTCTCTATTGGCGATGATTCCAGCAGTTAACGTGGATCCATTGTTTCCCCCCCAGCCAACAAGCATGATACTGTAGCCAAGACTCGATCAGACAAAAAGAACAAATCGACAAGAAAGAGATAGAAAAATTTCGCTGACCCGAGCTTGGGGACCTTCCTTTGAGTCTGGAATTCATATGTAACAGTGCTCGGCTTCACGACCCACTCGTATTTGCCCTCGCGATTCTTCTCGTGGACGAGATCGGTGGTGTTGTAATCATACACAGAGCTGATGTGCTCCTCCGAGTACTTGACATTGGGGCTCTCCACACGGAAGCTCTCGATAAACATATTCGAGCAAGCAAGACGCGAGCAATCAAAGGAATAGAAGGAGCTAATCTAGCTCAGCCGATCGAGAACTGAGCTGCGAGGTGGGAGAGAGCGGCCGATGCGATCGATCGATCGAGCGAAACCAGCTGAGAGGAAATGCCGGGGCCTCGGCAGCCCTAAATATTCGTAAAGCGCCTCCAAACCTACACCAAACCTGTCTAGGCCCGGAGAATATTCCAGAACTTATTCTAACCTAACCTTCATGCGTTTAGCGCGGCGGTGTGTGACGCGCAACACTTGGCGAGTGCAAATTTTGTGGAGAGAAATGGTCTCTTTCCAGATTGTTTTTTGTTAAAAAATGGATAGAAAAAATGAGGGAGAATTGTATATTAAAGAGGAATATTTTGAGTATTTTTTTTCGTTGTGGGATCAGCATCACTCACCGTTGGATCTCCACCGCTCAAACCTTTGTTCTTTTGTCGCATGTTCTTGGCTCCCTCAAAAATTTCACACCTCGAGACGACGAGGCTTTTATATCCTCCTAGTTAGCTCGTGAAAACCTAACTCGTTATAGACTAGACTATCTGTGAGAGAGCGATTGATTGATCACCCAAATTAAAAATGTGAGAGAACGATCAAAATATCATCATATTTTAAATCCATTAATGTTTTAAATCCTGTTGTGCCCAATCAGAAGCATGGGATCGAACCCGTCAAAAAATGTGAGAGACCGATTGAGGGATCATCGAAATCAAAATCTAATTGATCACTCCCCCATCAAACATTTGCTATAGTATATTGTATCATTATTGTCCTTGTTATTTTCAGTGTGTCTCTTTTGTCCAGACCCCCTTCTGGAAACGTATGCTGGCGCCAAGTATCGTGGAGGATTCGTGTCCACCGCAGGAAAGATGCTCTAGGACGTTTGCAGAGTGACGGTGGATGATCTAGACTGCTGGGGCCAGCGGCTCGATCGAGGTGGCGCTTTTGACGCCTCCCAGCTTTTAGGGTTCTTGAGATTCTCTGGTTGGGGAGGGATTGCCCATCGTGGACGAGCTTGTTCCCTCAGTCTGGGAACATTAATTTAATCCAAAGTCACATCATCCAAAGGATCTTTCATTTTAGGGTTCTTGAATGAAATGGTCAAAGTTAAATGGTCAACGTTTCAGTCAACGTGGACTTGGACCGGCAATGGAATCGAACTTTGCATCTGCTTAAACTTTTGTTTTTTAACGGTTCGATTCCCGGCGGTATTAAAGCGCATATTCCCTGCGCATTTTCTCAAAGGAAATAGGGTAACGAAGGCGACTGTGAGCGCAGAGAAAGCGAAGGTAGGCTTTTCGGGCGCCCTAGGCTTGGACTGGGTGCTCCACACGGCGCTGCGATCGGTCAATGCGCTGCCCTGGGGCTGTGGATGGGAGTTTCTTTGGCGATCGATAGATCGTAGTGCTAGGCGAGTGGAATTCCTGGGCGATCTGATCGGACTCTTGAGGCGGCAGCCATGTTTAGTCGGATGTTTGGCAAGCCCAAGGTTGAGCCATCGACTTTGACTACTCTCGACAAGCTAAATGAGGTGTGTTTTTGGATCTCTTGCTTCTTTAGCTTTGGAGATTGAATTTGTTTTCTAGACTTTGGAGATGCTAGAGAAGAAGGAGAGGGTGCTCCAGAAGAAGATCGCGGCGGAGATCGAAAAGGCCAGAGAGTACACGCGTGTTAAGAACAAGAAAGGTGAGCATAGAGATTGTTTTCATGAAGCTCAGAGATGGTGATCTAGTGCAGCTGCTATTGCTTGTCTCAAGAAAAAGAAGATCTACGAGACTCACATCGAACAACTAGGAAACTTTCAGCTGCGAATTCATGATCAAGTAAGAGTCTCCTCTTCCTTTGACTTCAAAAGATTGGTGGTGATTGGGTTTATGGTTTTGTGTGCTTTTGCTAGATGATTTTGCTTGAGGGCGCGAAGGCAACCACGGAAACAGTCGACGCTCTGAGAAGTGGAGCTGCAGCCATGAAAGCAATCCAAAAAGCTACGTAAGTTCTCTTCAAGGTTTTTCTGTTTTCTCCATTCATCAGCTCGTTGGTCATCTCTCAGGAACATCGACGACGTAGACAAAACTATGGATGAGGTGAACGAGCAGACCGAGAACATCAAGCAAATCCAGGAAGCTCTCTCGGCTCCATTCGGTGCCGCCGGCGAATTTGACGACGTAAGAGATCCGAGAAAAAGAGAAACTCTAAGCTTTGTTTGATCTTTCTTATCTGTTCCAGGATGATTTGGAGGCCGAGCTCGAGGATTTGGAAGGAGCGGAGTTGGAAGAACAATTGCTCAAGCCAGCGACAGCTGCTCCGACGCCAATCCCAGCTCCAAATCGTGTTCCAAGCCGAGCTCCTCAAGCTCAAGTTCCTCAACAACGGGTCCCTGCCACCAACGTCGCCGAGGACGATGAACTAGCGGCCTTACAGGCGGAAATGGCCCTGTAAAAAACCAAGCATTTCCATCCATCCCATTGTATTCTTCTTCGCCATGGTTTTATTCCGAAGTAGAGAGTTTTAGAGCCACTTTGTTTTAGGGTTTTGGGGATTAGGGTTCTAGCCATGGCGAAGCTGCCGTGCGCGGGGCGGAGGAACATCCTCGTCACATCGGCGCTGCCATACGTGAACAACGTGCCGCATCTCGGAAATATCATCGGATGTAAGTGTTGATCTCGCGATTTGGCTTATTTTTTCCAGCGAAATATTTCGAGGATTTCTTCCTTCTCGATCGAATTTCTGTCGAAATCTTTCTTAGTCTAGTTTGCGACTGTTGCAGCTGTGCTGAGCGCCGACGTCTTCGCGAGATATGGCCGACTGCGGGGCTACAATATCATCTACATGTGTGGGACGGATGAATACGGCACAGCGACTGAGACTAAGGCCCTGGAAGAGAAGACGAGCCCAAAGGAGATTTGTGACAAGTAAGAGTTGCTCTTTACCCTTGTTCTTCCTAGTACGAGAACTAAAATCTTCGACTTTTGTCTAAGGTACCACGACGTGCACAAGAAAGTCTATGACTGGTTTGATATCCGATTCGATAAGTTTGGGAGAACGTCTAGCCCCGAGCAAACTGTGATCTGCCAGTCGATTTTCAAGAAGCTGCTTGCGCAAGATAGGCTTTATGAAGACAAGATTAATCAGGCATGTAGAGTTTTTCTTTCTTTCTCTGTCTCTCTGACGGGTATTTGTTTCAGCTTTACTGCGAGTCTTGCCAGCGGTTTCTTGCTGATAGGTTCGTCATTGGCACTTGTCCCAAGTGTGGAATGACGGCCAGAGGTGACCAATGCGAGAAGTGTACGCACGTTCTAAACCCGGGGGAGCTTGTCGAACCAAAGTGCAAGGTAAGATTGTCAATCACTTGTACGTTATATTTCTTCGGTTTCATGCAGATTTGCAACAGTAGTCCTCATTTAAGAGAAACAACGCATCTGTTCCTTGATCTGCCCAAGATAAAGAACGAGCTGGTGGATTACGTCGAGAAAACATCTATAGCTGGTGGTTGGAGTTCAAACTCTATTACGATCACGAATGCATGGATCCGAGATGGCTTGAAGGGCAGATGTATAACGCGCGATCTGAAGTGGGGAGTTCCGGTTCCCTTACCCAGATTCGAGGACAAGGTATTTTTGAGCCTGATGTTTTCTAAACTGACGAGAGCCTCCTTTAGGTGTTCTACGTCTGGTTTGATGCTCCTATTGGCTACATTTCGATCACTGCAAACTACACTCCCGAATGGGAGCAATGGTGGAAGTCGGAAGATGTTGAGCTTTTTCAGTTCATGGGGAAAGACAATGTGACGTTTCACACGGTGAGACATTGTTGTATTCAGTGTAGTCATCTGGTTTCTGACATCCATTTTAGGTGATTTTTCCTTGCACCTTGTTGGGAACGGGCGAGCGCTGGACGATGATGAAAACATTGAGTGCCACAGAGTATCTGAATTATGAAGGAGGTATGTCATCTCAGTTGTTGTATGCGTGTATTAACTGGTGAAGTTAAAACAGCTAAGTTTTCAAAGAGTGCGGGCATTGGAGTTTTTGGCAACGATGCACAGGATACGAATGTTCCTGTTGAAGTCTGGAGATACTATCTTCTCTCCATTCGTCCAGAGGTGAGTTTTAGAACTTTTATCCAGTTCCGCAAAAGAAACGACCGATCTTTTTATTTCAGGCTGCCGATACGTTCTTCAGCTGGGCCGACTTGCAGGCTAAACAAAACAATGAGCTGTTAAAAAACCTTGGGAATTTCGTTCACAGGTGTCTGAGCTTCTTAGCAAAACCTGAAGGTGGGAAAGAATGAATGCGCCTCTATGCTTATGATCTTTTATCCAGGCCAAGGATACGGTTCAAAGATACCTGATGCTCCGGGTGCAGAGGAGCATGCGCTGACCGTGAAACTTGCAGAAGAAGTGTCAGAGCTTCTTCAGCAATACGTAGATTCGATGGAGAAGGTTACTGAGTATTTTGTTTCTTAGTGTTCGTCTGACTTTCTGCATTCCAGACGAAACTCAAAAACGGACTGAAGGTAGCGATGAGCATTTCAAGCCTTGGCAATTCTTACTTGCAAGTAAGTTTTGACGTGACTGTATCTCGTTCAAATTTAATGGGCTGATCCCGTAGGAGTCGGAATTTTGGCGCCTCTATAAAGAAGACCGCCCGTCTTGCAATATAGTTGTAAGGACAGCAATTGGTCTTGTTAAGATTTTGGCGACCATTCTCGAGCCGTTCATGCCATCCTTTTCAAAGAAGGTAGAACAAACTGTTTCAGTTGAGAGCTTCTCTTGACTTCTTTACAGGTCGCATCACAATTAGGATTAGACTTATCCGATCTTTCGCTCATTGATGCGGATGTGGAGGCTTTCAGGACTCCCTGGGTTCTCCTCCGAGATGGTCATGTCATTGGACAACCCGATACAATATTCTTTGAGATGGTACTTCAAAATTTGGTTCTGTTTTTGGTTTCCTTCGTCAAGTTTGATTTTCTCTTTTTTCAGAGTGACGAGGAAGTTCAGGCGTACCGTAAAAGGTTTGCTGGGTCTCAGGCTGAGCGTGCCTGCTCGGAAGAAGCAGCAAAGAAAGCGGACGTCAAAGCAAAAGCAGATATCAAGACGAAGGCTGATGCCAAACCGAAGAAAAAGAACGCTACTGTTAACGCCGCTGATGTTAAGACACCTGTGGACATTAGACTGGCTGATATCAGAGTAGGCAGGATCGTCAAAGTTGCAAAGCACCCGAATGCAGATTCTTTGTATGTTGAAGAAATTGACGTCGGTGAAGACACTCCGAGGACGGTTGTTAGCGGTCTGGTGAAGTTCATACCACTAGAGGAGATGGAGGTAAATCTACTGAGATTCGTTTCTTCTTAATGGCTTCTTTTTCTACAGAATCGGCGAGTTTGCGTCATCTGTAATCTCAAGCCTGCGAAGATGCGAGGAGTGCTGTCTCAAGCGATGGTTCTGGCAGCTTCAAACAAGGAGGAGACAAAGGTAACACTAGCCGGTTTTAGGCAGCGTCAATACTAAACCGATCATTTTTCACTGCAGGTGGAACTGGTAGAGCCTCCTGAAGGTGCTGTTATCGGCGAGAGAGTAACCTGTCCGGGGTATGAAGGCGACGCTGACGCTGTGCTCAAGCCTAAAGACTGGGCAGTCGTACAGCCTGATTTGCAGACAAGCAGTGAGCTGATTGCAGTGTACAAGGGAGCACCATTCTCAACCACTGGTGGAGTTTGCAAGGTGGCATCCCTCGCAAGCGGCTCCATCAAGTAGTGGTTCATAAACACAACTTTTTGTACTGACTCCAGTTCTACTGGAAATAATTGAGTTTTGTTTTCAGATTCTTTCCAGTGGACATAGCGTTCGAGAGTGATACGTACGGTGCACAGTCGAGAGGCTGCAGCTTGGCGGCAGTATCAGCTGCTCGAGCTGCTGTTTCGGCGTCACCATGCACCAAGCAAGCGCCGAGCAGGGAATTCCAGGCCACGGGATTTGGCAGATGAGTAGCAAGTTCTTCGGCTCTGTGGAACTTCCCAGCTCGGGCAAGCAGGTCTAGTAGACAGGCATAGTGCTGGACAGTGGGCTTGAGGTTGTGGTCACTGCTCATGGCGTACAGATAGCTGACAGCTTCGTCCATCAAACCAGTGTGGCTGCATCCAGACAGAATGCTGATGAAGGTGACGGCGTTGGGCTGGATACCTCCGTGAAGCATTCCTCGAAAGGCTTGTAGAGCTCCGTCAGCGTCACCGTTGTGAGCACAGGCTGCGGCCATGGCACTCCAGGAAACGACGTTCTTCTGGGTGAGAGCATGGAAAACTTTTCGAGCTCGAGACAAGTTCCCGCAACGACTGTACATATGTAGCAGAGTGTTAGCAACGTCAATGTCGGAGTCCAGGCCGCAAGCGGCAGCCAGTGCGTGGATCTTCACCCCCTGGAGCAACTTAGAAGGATCTCCGGCACAGGCGTTCAGGATATTGACGAAGGTGGTCTTGTCGGGATGGCGACCGTGGTGGAGCATTCTCTGGAAGGTACCCAAGGCTTGGTTTGGCAGACCATTTTGATTCCAGGCGGAGAGCATGGAGTTCCAAGTGACAACGTCCTCAACGCTTTGTTGGAGTAGCTCTTTGAAGACGTTCTCGGCTGCTTGCAAGTCCCCGGACGTCCCATACAGTGTGACCAGAGCATTTCCAACAACGGTGGAGGTTGCAAAACCGAAGGCAGCTGCTTGTGCGTGGAACTCTATGCCTCGTTTCAAGTCGTGGAGATTGGCAGCGGCTTTGATGACAGTGACCATGGTAACAGGATCCGGTTTGTGGCCGTGGAGCTGCATGGCTCGGTAGACACGGATGGCTGCTTCGTTGTCTTCGTTCTGCTCGCAAGCGAGGATCATCGACGTCCAGGATATTACGTTGGTACGGGGCATTTGATCGAGAACTTGAGCAGCATCCGCCAGCCTTCGACAGTTTCCATACATTTTGATCAGAGCAGACCCAAGAACAACGTCGGTTTGGTTTGAAGGCCAGGACTGGCTGATCCTGGAATGGATCTCTACGGCTCTTGAGAGGTCTCCCATCATTCCGCAAGCATCCGCGGCGCTTACGAAGGTGATTGCATCGGGCTTCACTCCTTCCTGCTCCATTCGTCTGAAAAACTCGAGAGCTTCGCCAGCTTTTCCTTCTTGGACATGTCCCGAGATAACTGCAGTCCAAGCGAACTTCTCTGGATCAAGATGCTCCTGCTGCTGCATTTCCTGCAAGAGTTTTGAGGCTTGTTCGCTACGGCCGTTTTGAGCGTAGGCAGTCACCATGGCAGTCCACGAGATTTTATCTTTCGTGGGCATCCTCTTGAAGACTTCTTCCGCTTCGTACAAGCTTCCACATTTGCTGTACATGTTGACGAGGCTGGTTCCAAGGACAACGTCCGACTCGATCCATCCTTCCTCGCTACTGATCAAGTGGAGGACCCTGCCGTGTCCCAGAGCTAAGAGGTTGGAACAGGATATAAGCAGCGCGACCGCAGTAAAGCTGTCCGGCTTCGTTCCTTGCTGCTGCATCTGGAAAAACAGCTGAAGAGCGTCGCGGTCGAAGCCATGAGTGACAGAAGCGGATATAATCGTGCTCCAGGAAGCCGGACTTTTCTCCACCATCTCTTCGAAAACACGATACGCGTCTTGAAAGGTACCGCACTTTGCAAACATGTTGATGGTGGAAGTGCTAACGAGGACGTCCGGCTTGTCCTGGCTTTGGACACTACAGGCATGGAGCAGCTCCCCGTGAACTAGAGCGGGCTCTCCTAACTTAGAACACACATCCAGCGATTTGAGGAACGTGAAGCTATCCGGCCTGACGCCTTCGAGCAGCATGGTGCGAAAGAAACGAAGAGCTTCCAGACTCCGCTGGTTCAACGAGTACGTAACCAGCATCGCGTTCCAGGAGGTGATGTTCCTGTGCTGCATCTCGTCAAACACGGTCTTGGCATCGCTCACGCTCCCGCATCTCCCATACATGTTGACGAGAGCAGTAGCTACAACAACATCTCCAGCTGCAGCAGCTCCAGGGAAAAATCTTGTGTGGAGCTCTCGAGCTTGGTCGAGAGCGTCCGGTTGGTCGCAAGCTTCGACGATTCGCAGGAGCGCAATTCTGTCCAGCTTGACGGACTCGGAGACCATCTGCTTGACGAGCTCGAGAGCCAGCGTGGAGTACCCATTGCGGGTATATGCTGTGACCATCAGGGTCCAGGAGAAGACGTTCTTTCGCTGGATACCATCGAAAACAGCTCTTGCTTCCTCGACGCTCCGGCACTTGCCATACATCTCAACGAGACGATTTGCAAGGTACCTATCTCCCCCGTGACTGCTTTTCAGTATCTCTGCGTGGATCTTTCTACCTCGTGCTAAGTCTTTGATCTCTCCGCAGGATTGCAGCGAAGTTGCAAAGATCTCGCAAGTTTCCACTTGCATGAGGTAAGCAAAATGGTGGTTTCACTCACCTGGATTTTTCGTTGTTGCGTAGAAGTTCGACACTGAGATGTACGCCTGTCCCTTCTCGGACTCCAGCTCTAGGACTTGCTCCGCGATGCCAGCGCCGCGACTAAACTCCCCATGAACGTTACAAAAGCCGAGCAGCGTGGCCGACACGAGCTGGACGAGCTCCGAGTTAAAGTCACTTCGACCGGACAAGAGTCTCTGGGCTTCGTCCAGCCTTCCAGCCCGTCCCAGGATGTCGATCACGCACACGCAATGCTGCTCCAGGGGCTTGACGGAGTAGTCCGGCAGCATCGAGCTCAGCCAGTAGAGCGACTCGTCGACGAGCCCGGCATGGCTGCACGAGAAGAGAAGGCTGACAAACGTGACCTTGTTGGGGGCAACGCCGTCGAGCAGCATCTCCCGGAAGAGCTCCACCGCCGGCTCGTGGTGGCCGTTCTGCGCATAGGCCGCGACGATGGCACTCCAGGTGACGACGTTCTTCACTTTCATGCTCGAGAAGAGGCTCCTCGACTCGTGAACAAGCCCGGCCTTGGCGTAGAAGTTTAGCAGCGCGTTCCCGACGACACCATCGCATTCCACCGACGAGGCTAGCAAGCGAGAGTGGAGGACAGTGCCTTGCTCCAGTGACGGGATGCTAGAGCAAGCGTCAATAGCAGCGACGAATGCAAACCTGTCCGGCTCGAGACCTTGGAGGTCCATCTTCCGGAAGAGAAGCAGCGCCTCTCTGGCATGCCCGAGCTGGTTATACGCCGTCATCATCGCAGTCCAGGCGATCAAGTCGGGATCCAGGACTTGGAGCTGCATTCTCTCGAAGATCTCCGCAGCCTGTTCGATATGCCCGTTCTGGGCATACGCGTCGATCATGGCAGTGGAGCATATCACCGTCGGGTTCTCGAGGCTGTGGAAGATCTTCACGGCGGGGTTGACGCAGCCACACCGGCCATACATGCTGATGAGCGAAGTCGCCAGGACGGACGTGAGTTTGAGGCCCTGCTGGTGGATTCTCGAGTGGATGGTCTTGCCGAGCGAGAGGAAGGCGAGGCCGAGGTTGGAGCAGGCTTCCAGGATGGCGGAGAAGGTGAACTCGTCGGACTGGACGCCGTGGACGTCCATCTCGCGGAAGAGCTCCACGGCCTCGAAGAAGAGGCCGTTGTGGGTGTGAGCGACGATGAGGATGGTCCAGGTGAAGACGTTCTTGCGGCTCACGGTGTGGAAGACGGCGATGGCGTCGTGGACGCTGCGGCAGCGGCCATACATCTGGATGAGGAGGTTGCAGAGGTAGCGGTCGCGGTGGTAGCCGCTGGTGATCATCTGGAGGTGGACCGCTCGCCCGGCGTCCAGGTTCTTGGCGTCACCGTGGAGCTTGAGCATGGACTTGAAGAAGTGGACGCGCTTGGGATCCAGCGCGTGGGTCTTTCTCGCTGCTACTGGTGGTGGCTCCTTGAGCTCTGGATTCAATCGCAACAACATCGCGCGGCATTGGAAGAAAAAAGAGGTTTTTAGATCATCGTTCGATTGTTACAGATGATGTAAGTGGTAACCTCTGGCTCACTTTAGTATGAAGTTCTTAGCAAAGGTAACGCGAGCGGAAGTTTTAGTTTAAACTTTGATTCTTTTGTAACAAGAGCCACCAGGTTTCTGTTTTAGTCACTTTTGAAGAGCTTAATACAAACTCCATGGAACAGTCATCACATACTGATGAACCCTGTTCATCCCGGCAACCTCTCTCTGATACAAGGATCCATCGTCTTTCTTGAAGCCCTGGTACGTGTATCCCTCAAAGCTAGGCTCGGGAACGACGTAGATGAGTTTGTACTGCTTGGGACGCACCAGCTTGAGCTTGTCATGCAACTCATCCAACCCCTGAACGAGCTCGTGGATCTTGGACCAATAGACCGGATGCGTGGCTGATGTTGTAACCTGGAGAATTACGTCCGGAGTGACCAGCGAATCGAAAGATTTCTCGTTTGACGCGTAAGGCTCCACGAAGCAATTGTCAGGCAAGCCTGCAAGGCCCCGTGATTCCTCCGTCCCCGCACGATAAGCGTCCACAGGACTCACGTCCTTGGCGTATACGTTGAAACCAGACCCCACGCAGCGCTTCTTTACGAACACTTTCCACTCGCGCAGCCGCTTCACTGACGTTGGCCTCCGATGGAAGAGTTCGACGCCGTCACCTTCCTCTTCCAGGGATCGAAGATCAAACTCGTCACCTCCAGTGGCAAGTACCTTGTGGACGTGCTGCTGGTATATTTTGCCCGCCAAGGTGTTTGCAACCGGATATCCCCGGCATAAGTCGAAAAAGTCACGGAAAGCCTGAAACCCCTGCTCCTCAAACCTTTCAAAAGCAAGCTTCTGAATGCAGTCCGAGCCAAACACCAGGTGTATGTTCGAGTCGAATCTGTCAGTCGTAAGACGGTAGTGGAGCAGAATATCAGAAACAGCGGGGTCCTTGTCCGAGTTGAGTGTGCAGTGGAGCACTTTTCTCCAGCTCTCCACCCTGGCAGCTGCCTCGTGCACCAACCCTTGGAGCGCGGCCACCGAGAACTTCTCCGCGTTGAAGAGAAGCCTTGGTAGCCCGCCACAGTAGTAAAAGCGGACACCGATTTCCTCGTCTGTCATTCCCAGCTCAAGCTCCTGGTTGCACTGCTGCAGTTCCTCGAGAGACCAGGCTCCCAGGCGGCATATATAGCCATGGTCCTTGGAGAACTCGTGGTAGCCAGTGCGATCCGGCGATCCGACGCACTGGATGAGAGGCCCCAGGTGGCTTATTCCCCTCGAGCCCCCGTCGACGATGAGCCAGACGCTCGTCATGTCCCACCCCCGCGGTCGAGTATACCATTTCGATTGCAGCACCAGAGGATCGTCCAGCGAGAAGTCGAAGAAAAAGTACTCTGGATCTTCGGTCCTCCACACTACTTTCTGTCCTTCCTGAGCTCTACTGTGAAAGAAGTAGTGGCCATAGAACGTCTTGCCAATACCTGGCGTTGAAACGATGTGGAAGTTCTTCAACCCTTTCCTCTCATTCACGACCCTGCTCCACTTCTCCGCAATGAACTGATCCATGAAAAGGTAGTTTGGATGGACCCAGAGCTTGGACAGGTTGTAACGGCCCAAGAAGCCAGACGGGATGTGGAGGCAGCGGTCCTGGAGCCTGGCATGCTTTACCTCCCGGCCGTAGGCAGCGAGAAAAGGATCTGACACACAGAAACTGTTAGAGATAATTCGTGACGCCTAGATCATACCGAGCTCCTCGCTCATCTCGCTGTCGCCGAAAACCCTAGCACGGTGTAGCGGTCTAAGAAAAAATAAGCTATAGTAGGTTTCTCAAAGAATAAAAACATTCCTCGCAAAAAAAAAAAAAAAAGAATCCCTCTAGACGAATTTCTTGCGTGGAAGAAGCCCAGATCCTTCTGGCGTGACGCCTAACCCTAGATTGCGAGAAAACAGGGATGGCCCGGCTCGTCACGATATCTCAATCAGAGGATGATATCATGCAAGAAGATTGGCCTCTGAGGCACAAGAATGCACTACAAACCACCCCCCCGACCCCCTTGCCACGTCATCACTGTCCGTTCTCCTCGTGTCAAGCCTCGTGTCAAGTATTGACTATGCCACTATGCCACTTCTTTTCAAAGGTTCTGTTTAACAATGTACTCCACAACTCAAGTTATTAACGCATTTCCAAATTACTTCCATTCTAGATGACACCAACAATGAGCAGCACTGTTCCATGCTATATAGAAGTCACTAGCAATTTCTTGACTCTGTAATCTCAACTTCCCTCACTCCAACAGCAATTTAGCATGCCCTTTTATTCCTTTTGAAAGCTGATTCAAAGTTCAAGAAAAAGTTTTGAATTTTAAAAGTAAAGTTTTTATTTGATATAACTTTAAATTGGGAAATAGTTAAAGGAGCCATTTGTGGCCAAAACTTCTTTATATGCTACATAGTGTACTAATACAATATGAAGGACAATTTGTTTCAGCAATATCACTAAGTCTATTTGCTAATTTTGCAAAAATGTAAAAAGAGACATCTTTAATGGAGATCTTCTAAATACCTTGTTACAGGCTTATTTGCTGTAATGTATATAGTTTTCACCTTTTACATTGATGTTAGAGGTAGAAACAACATTATTCAGAACACTTTTTACATTCTATTGATATGATAACTTGTAAATTTAGACACTTTCCATAAATAACACAGAATTAAAATGGGACCAATATATAAGGCATGATAGTGAGGGTTTTACAGACATAATAAGATATCATGTTAGCAATATTGAGGAAATAATACCTAATATATAAGATTTTTTGTCAAACTAATGCAAGACAGTAAAAAAGAACTAATAAATTGGGCTAAGTATACTTGTTGTGAATGTGATTACGGGTATCAAAAGTTATTTATTAGTGAGTTATTTTAAATATTCTTTCTTTACTGCTATGATGGCAGAAAATTAGTATTGTTGGACCTTTTATTACACTCTCTTGTGCTACTAGAGTTAACTGGGCATTTTGAATGTAATTATATTGGACGAGCATAAAAATGGAATTCTTACATACTATTACCTAAACATGCTTAGCCTGGTAAAGAGTTTCTATCTCATTGTATCTTGCACTGGCTAATGATAAACACTCCTACAATATTGAGTTTAATCCCTCAATATTCACTAAATAATAACTTATTATGTCCACTAAGACACCCTTGTTATCATACTGTGAGACATAAATACCTAAGCTCCAAAGTGGAGCCAAAAGTGTGTTATATATTAGTGGTTAAAGTAGGAGTTCACGAATATAACACGTTTGGACCAAAAGTTTCAACTTGGGAAGTTAAGAGTGGGAGTGGAACTCCCAACAAAGTGCTTGAAGAAAGAGTACAAAGTGATCAATGAATTAGTCTCTAGTAAAGGGACACAAAAGGACCAACATATGGCAAATGTTATGACACATAGAAGTGTCGGGACCGAGTTCGAGATGGAATTGGAGAAAGAGTCCAAAATGGAGTTTGCAATAGAATCTGAGATGGAATCTGAAATGGAGTCTGAAATGGAAATCAAGACCAAAACCAAGACCCATGTGGTGGGTGATGATATAACCATTGAGGAGTCCAATGTTAGAGTGAACACATAGGTAACTTGGTGAAGTGTTCAGAAACTGACTCTAACTCCCCCGAAAAATTAAATGGTTGATGCTCCCAATCCAAGTATGGGTGGCATTACTTACTTGGATACTTGGTGTGGCTCATCAAAACCTCATTCTAGCCACTTGGCTAGTGCACCCAGAGGTGGAAGATGGGGGAGTACCCATGGGGCTTATATAGGGCCATGGTGTTTTGAAATGTTGTTTTAAATCCTAGACTGTGGAAAGGAAAATGAGTAGTCCTTTTGTATAGTTAGTAAGGGTATGGTCACGTGGTGAAGAAGTTCTAAAGGTGAATATGGAACTTTAGGCCTTAATCCAACAGCAATGTTGGCAAGCACTACTATGGACGAAAAGGGACTTGGTGGGGATTGAAAGGATATTAGGGAAGGGTGTTCCCCATATCTCCAAAGGTGTGGTCATGGGATGACCATTTAGGGATGGATGGCCCAATTTTTGGGAAATGGGATTAAGGTATAGGTGGTTTTAGATTACCAATAAAATAAAAGTGAATAAACACAGCCTTAGTATAGTGGGTTAATATATCAATGGTACCTTTCGGTGTTTATAGTGAAATTGGACATATGAAGAACTTAAACCAAGTGCAAAAGCAAAGGGGCATAGAGGCCATTTATGAGGCTAATAAGTCTCTAAGTCGAGAATAGAACTTATGGAGGTTGTGATCCTCTAAATGGTTAAATGTGTAATTAAGTAACTAAAGTGGAATAGAAAAATTAGTTGTTTATATATGCTTCATATTTGGTCCTATTAGCTATTTATGAAAAGTGTTCAAATTTGTAAGTTGAGCATATCTACAGAATGTAGAGATTGTCCTGAATATGATGGTGTTTTTCTTGCATTCAAATTTGTAATCTAACACTATTCCATATTTAATAAGTTTTTGTGATTATCCCAAAGACTAACTCATGGGATTGGTGGGATTTGAGTGAAAGTGTTTTGCTTGGGGGTGGGGGTTGGAAGGGGGTTTAAATGTATAGTAAGGATAGTAAGTATGTTGGGCATGGAAGATCAATCTAAAGTATAGTGTAATTTTTGTTTCCCGTTTGTGTGTTAGTCTTTATTCTACATTTGGCTTAGGTCCAAGCCTAAACTCCATACTCTACTAGTTAGTGGAATACCTATATCCTCATATTAGACTTATTGAAATAGCATTAGGTTTTGTTATGCGTATCGCATAATAAGATGGTAAATGCTTTAGGACTTTTCTAATATCACTCTATGCTCCTACCCTTCACTCCTTGGGTGTATGCTCGGGAGTTGTACCATGCTTTGGTTCTTTCACTATTTGGCTAAATGCTCAGAAGTTTAGCTCCATCCCTTTGTTTAGTGGCCCAAAACTTTAAAACTCA